TGGTCGTAGTGTATGAGTGTGTGTGTTAATGAGTGTGTATGGGTGTTTCCCAGTACTGGGTTGCTGCTTGAAGGGCATCCGCTGTGTAAAACATATGATGAATGCTTTCCATCCCTACAACACACACTTCAAACTCAGATAAACACACACACACGCTGCTATGTATAGCCAAACAGGCTTCAGAGGGGCCAACAGAGACTTTTCATTGGTTTCTGCTCCATGTGTGTCATTCCAGTGGCCGTTTACGACCCAAGTGTTCAGTCGTGTGTTGCTAAATAACTCATAGCAACCATTCTGCCATAAAAAGGACTAAATTATCACAGAGATTGCTTTGGGAAGTGTTATAAATCCAGTACGGCTAAGAGGCTGTAATCTGTCGCGTTTTATAGTTGCTATGGTAACTCAATAAATTTATTTATAGTTATATTTATTACAATAGTTATATTTAATTAAGCAATATCTATTATATATAGGATATTCTCTATAAATTCAATTTCATTAAATTTAAAAAATTAAAAATAAATATATAAATAAAAAATAAAATTTGAAAATAAAATAATAAAATAAAATAAAATGCTCTCTAGTATCTATTATGTCATTATAACAAATACAATTTTATTTTGGATGAAAATACTCATGATTAATCTTTGCCAAGCACAAAAAAATAAATTTAAGTAAAATTAATTTAAACAAAATAAAATAAAATAAAATTGAATTAAAAATACAATTACATTAAATTACATTAAAAAACTTACTTTTAAAAACACATAAAAATTATAAATAAATTAAATTAAAAATGTAAATAAAATTACATTAAATTATTTTTTTTTAAATAAAACAAATAAAAAATAAAATGTGAAAAATGAAAAATAAGATAAATAAAATGAAATAAAATAGAAAAATTTAATAAAATAAAACAAAATAAAATCTGACCAATTAAATGCTCTCCAGTATCTATTATGTCAATTTAACAAATATAATTGTTTTTTAGGTGAATAATCCTGATTAATCTTTGCAGAGCACTAAAAATTTTATTAAATTATTTTAAATAAAAATACAAATAAGTTTTATTAAAATAAATTACATTAAAAAGACAAAAAAGAAAAAAATAGAAAGAATAACAGAAACAAATTAAAATACAAATAAAAGTATATTAAATTAAATATTTTTTATAAAAAGATAATAATACTAATAAAATAATAAAAAATTTAAATTTAATTAAATAAAAAAAAACTATTAATTGACTGAAATTACAGACATAGTAATAAATCATGATATATATTGTTATCAGTATGTGATCACTTATATCCTCATGTACAATTTTTTCAGACAAACACAGAAAGCATCCGAGCTGAAGTAAACCTGCTCCCAGAGCCTGCTCAGATTTTTATCACTTTGTTCACGACCCAAAAGAGAGAGAAAGAGAGCGAGTGAGCAATGTGTGTCCCGGTAACACAAACACTGAGGCTTGTTTTGATAGATGTATCTGAAGTAATCTTTCTAAAAGTGTGTGTAAAAGCCACCAACAGCAGGAAACTGCAGCACCACATCAGCTCCACCGCAGAAACGACCAATTCTGGGTCAAAAAACCCGGCACACATGCTGGAGATGTGTAATATAACTACCGCCCAGGCCGATCCTGGAAAGTTGGATTAAAGGGAACGGCGTGATTTACGATTTGCAGAAGAATCTGGCTGGAGTCAGTTTTGGACAGGGGAGTGAGAACGAGACGGCGATTAAATGAAGCAGGTCGATCTGGAAGGAGACGTGAAGAAAAAAAACGGCATGATTGAGGACCGGCTGCTGTACCAGGGGGAAACCCACAGCTTTTACGTGATATTGGATGAAAGTGTTTTGATCAGATCTTTCTGAAAATTCAGCCGGTAATTACTACTGGCTTCATTTATGTCAGATGAAGCGCTTTCAGAAATCTGTGGCTGAATCTGGGTGGTTGATGACGAGTGATGTAGCGTGGGGCTTTCCAATGGGAAAATACAGCAGCAATCAGTGTTTATCAGTCATAATAAACCAAGCACAGCAGCAAATGATGGACCCCGGTCACACTAACCAGCTGCTGGGACACTCACAATACACATATTCCCCAAATGACATTGAACAGATTCAGGAATTTTCCACAGTATTTCCTATAATACTTGCTCTTCTGGAGAAAGTCTTATTTGTTTTATTTCGGCTAGAATAAATGCAGTTCTTAATTGTTTTAAACCACTTTAAGGTCAATATTATTAGCCCCCTTAAACAATATTAGTTTTAGATTGTCTCCAGAACAAACCACTTTCATACAATGGCCTGCCTAATTACCCTAACCTTACCCTAATGACCCTATTTAAGCCTAAATTAATCAACAGTTTTATTCAGGTCACCTCATACTTCAGTTTCTCATCAAAACTTCTGACCAATCAAATGCTCTCTAGTGTCTGACATGCTCCGCCCCCTTCTTCTCATTGGCTGTTTATTTGATGTGCTTGATCTCAAACACTCTCACTGGCAGAGTTGTGATAAACAAAACGCCATTGGCTGGTTTTTAAAAAGGGGTGGAGCTACCCTATGCTTTAGATTAGATTACGTCAAACATCGAATACAATTCAAAGCGCTCCATGAGACCTTGAGTTGAACAGAACAGCTGAGTTTTCTCTTTCTAGCTCTTAGTCCTGCTCCAAACTCACTCCACTGCTTGAGCCAACACCGACGTCACTTATAAACAACACATGCAAACTCCATTGCAGCACTGCAGGCCGTGGTATGAATGCAATGCATTTAGTATAAGAAAGCCTAAAGCAATCTAGACCAGAGTAAACGGAGAAAAACCTCTGATTCGCAAAGCCAGCTGAAGATTTGAACTCTTTTAGCTCTCTGAAAAAGATACTGTTCCTTACTAAGAGTTTCTGTCTTGATTCTAGCCCAAATATCTCAACATTCTTAAATGAAGAAGCATTTTGTAGACAAGAAAAACATTATTTTAAAGCTAAAATAATCAGCCGATAAGATTAAGAGAAATAATCCTGTTTTCACTGTAAAATGATTATTTTGCTTACCAAATTGTCCTTGTTTTAAGAAAAAAACTCACTTAATTTTGACTCATTGCTTCTGAAAACTAGACAATATGTAGAAAATGCTGCTGATTTGAGAAGTTTTAGATATTTGGACCAGAAACAAGACAAAAACTTTAAGAAATGCATTTTTTACAGTGAAGTCATGAGTTCGCATGAGAACTTTCTAAGCTCTCTCTCTCTTTCTCTCTCTCTCTCTCTCTCTCTCTCTCTCTCTCTCTCTCTCTGACCTGTAAAATGAATCATGCTGTTGACCTTTGTTATGACTAGCCAACATCAGTTTCCCAGAAAACGATCATTTATTACAGCGAGCCAAGTTAAAAACACAACTGTTAATGTATAAATATGACTGTCACATGTTAATCATGAGGTCATGATGGTTTCTGATGGTTACAATATTTCTTTGGTATACTGCTGTGGAATAGAGTTTCACTTAACTGTAGTGATTTGTACACATAGAGACAAAATAAATCATTGTGCTGTCAACAACTGTTTATAAATCATATGAAAGCAAATTAATAACACACCATGAGTGTTTCTCAAATTAAAGTATACTTTTAAAAGGTGCACATTGTAATACTGTTACATTACATTAATGTCACATACTGCTGTTACAATAATATTACATTCAAATCAACCAATCAATAAACCAACCAATCAATCACCCAACCAATCAACTAACCAAACATAGTGATATAAAGAAACTGATTCATCAATAATTGAAATTAGTTTTACTTTCATTTATAAAGAACCAATGAAAACTCTTGAAAAATTTCTAAGAAAGGATCTAAAGTTGAGACACAATGTGACTACTAAAAAACGGATTCACTTTTCTAATTATCAAGCAACCAACCAACCAACTAAACAACTGATCAATAATCCAGACAATCAACCGACCAACCAGTCAATCAACCAACCAACCAACCAGTCAACCAACCAGTCAACCAACCAGTCAACCAACCAGTCAACCAACCAACCAGTCAACCAACCAATCAATCAATCAATCAATCAATCAATCAAACAATCAACAAACCAAACAAACAATCAATCATTCAATCAAATAACCAAGCAATCAACCAACTAACCAACCAACTGACAAACCAGAAAACCAATAAATCATCAAACCAATCAATCAATCAATCAATCAATCAATCAATCAATCAATCAATCAATCAATCAATCAATCAATCAATCAATCAATCAATCAATCAATCAATCAATCAATCAATCAATCAATCAACCAACTAACCAATCAACCAACCAGTTAACCAACCAACCAAGCAATCAATCAATCATTCAATCAACCAACCAACCAACCAACCAACCAATCAACCAACCAGTCAACCAACCAGTCAACCAACCAATCAATCAATCAATCAATCAATCAATCAATCAATCAATCAATCAATCAATCAATCAATCAATTAATCAATCAATCAACAAACCAAACAAACAATCAATCATTCAATTGAATAACCGAGCAATCAACCAACTAACCAACCAACTGACAAACCAGCAAACCAATAAATCATCAAACCAATCGAACAATCAACCAATCAATCAATCAATCAATCAAGCAATCAATCAAATCAATCAATCAACCAACTAACCAATCAACCAACCAGTTAACCAACCAACCAAGCAATCAATCAATCATTCAATCAACCAACCAACCAACCAACCAATCAATCAATCAACAAACCAATCAACCAGCAAACCAACCAATCAATCAATCAATCAATCAATCAATCAATCAATCAATCAATCAATCAATCAATCAATCAATGTGTTCCAGTGTAATGAACTGCAGTATGATTGTGAACACAATGTGACTACTAAGAAAAATGATTCCCTTTACTGATTATCAAAAAACCAATCAACCAATAAATCAATACATCAATCAATCAATCAATCAGAAAGAGCAGCTCTCACCTGTAGACTGCACCTGCGGTATTCTCTGTCTCTGCCTGAGCATCTGTAGTTTCCTGCCACTGGAGGCCTCCAGTCCTGCTCATTTCCAGGGGTCTGCACAGGGGCCCAGGGCTCTGGGTTGGGATTTGAGGGCGTTTGGGGGCCGTATGGAGGAGGATCTCTGGAAGTGTGTGTTCTGCTGATGGTGCGTGTGTATGATGGAGGAGCCTGGCGGGACGTGCGGCCTTCGATGCGTCTATCCCGGGCCCCGTTTCTCTGTGCCGGGGGCCTTATATGAGGGATTCTCACTCGTCTGCGCTGCTCTCCATCATCATTGTCCTCACTCACTTTGTCTGCAGGAGTTTTTTCGTGTGTTTTTTCCCCATGTGAGCTGGAGTTCACATTCAGAGCGTCCAGACTATCTGTGCTGGTGTTGTGGTGTGTGTGGCGCGCATGTCGGTTTTGTCTGTGTAGAGGAAGAGAAAACGGCACCCTGCCATATCCAAACTGTCCAGGACGAATGGACGAACTAGACCTGGAGGAACAGAGTCAGACAGAACACAGATATGAACATATCAAAACTAAACGCAAAGTAAAAATCACCCTGAAACAGAGGCTGACTCAGTGAACGGGGTGTGTAAAAATACATTCACTGTGTCTGATTATTTTTGAGAATTGTTTGTAGAGTTCGCACTGGTTCACTATGAAAGATTCATACCCGGACTCAGGGAAAGTGAATCAGTTTTCTTTGTATTCACATTGTGTCTCAGTTTTAGATCATTTGTGAGAACCTTTTCAAGAGTTTACATTAACTAATCATGAATCAAAGTCAAACTGATTTAATGATTTAAAAGTGAATCAGTTTTCTTTATGTTCACATTGCCTCAAATTCAAATCATTTTTGAGAAATTTTTTGAGAGTTTAGACTGGTTTTACAAAAAAAAAAAATCAAGCTCAGACATATTCAGTGAGACAACAGTGAATCGGTTTTCCTGGTATTCACATTGTGTGTCAATTTCAGATGCTTTTTGAAAACCTTTTCAAGAGTTTACACTGGTTCATTATGAATCAAAATCAAGCTGATTCAATCATTCTAAAGTGAACCAGCTTTCTTTACATTCACATTGCTTTATATTTGAATCATTTTTTGAGAGTTTACACAGGTTCACAAAAAAATAAAACTCAGTGAGACAAAAGTGAATCAGTTTTCTTTATATTTACATTGTGTCTCAATTTTAGATCATTTGTGACAACCTTTTCAAGAGTTTACACTGGTTCATTATGAATCAAAATCAAACTGATTCCATTATTTAACAGTGAATCAGTTTTCTTTACATTCACATGGTCTTAAATTTGAATTATTTTTGATAAACTTTGAGAGTTTACACAGGTTCACTAAAAAAATTAAACTCAGTGACACAAAAGAGAATCGGTTTACATTTACACTGCCTCAAATTGAAATCGTTTTTGAGAGTTTACACTGGTTCATTATGAATCAAATTTAAACTGATTCAATGAGTCAAAAATGAATTCGTTTTCTGTGTGTTTCACACCGCGTCTCAATTTTAGATCATTTATGAGAACCTTTTCGAGAGTTTACACTTGTTCACTATAAAAGAATCAAAGTCAAACTGATTTAATAATTCAAAAAGGAATCCATTTTCTTTATATTCACATTGCCTCACATTTAAATGATTTTTGAGAAACATTAAGAGTTTATACTCGTTCAATCAGTGAATCGGTTTTCTTTATATTCATATTGTTGGTCAATTTTACATCACTTAAGATCCATTTTATAAGTTTACACTGGTCCACTAAGAATTAAAGTCAAAATGATTCAGTGATTCACATTTGAATCCATTTTCTTTGTATTCACATTGTGTCTTTCATTTTAGATTTTATTTTGAGAAGCTTTGCGAGACTTTAAACCTGTTCACTATAAAAGAATCAAAGTCAAACTGATTCAGAAGTGAATCCGCTTTCTTTATATTCACATTGTGTCTCAATTTAAATAATTTTTGAGAAGCTTTTTGACAGTTTAGACTGGTTCATCATAAAAGAATCAAACTCATTTAGTGAGTCAAAAGTTAATCATTTTTCTTTATATTTACATTGTGTCTTTATTTTAGATACGTTTTTTTTTTTAAACTAATCCACAATAAAATAATCAAATTTAGCATCATTCATCAAGTGGATTTTCAAAAGAGAATCTTTCTTTCTTTCTTTCTTTGTGTAGCACTAACTAGAACTGAGTTTGCACAAACAGCAAGCTCCTCCC